CGGCGAGATGATGGCCCTGTGTTAGCACCCAGTGCTCTCAGCCAGGCTCGGCTCCCAGTCCCAGGCATCTGGGGCCTTCCTCATGGATAATGGGGATTGCTGGGATGAGACAGATGGGGAAAACAGGTCATGTTGCACGGAGCAGCCTGATTGAACCCACCACTGGGAATCCCACTGCAAGAATCTAGCGCTTGGTGCCGATGTTTGTCTAAAGAATAGGTCAGAACAGTTTAGGCGTTATCGATGTGAAGTGGGGGTTTGAAGATTATATCCTTTAATAAATCCATTCTTTAAAAGATCAGACTATAAAACATGTCACGTAACACAAAAATCAAGACACAAAACCCCAGGGCAGCTCCAACAAAGGGTTCTTCGTGTGGTATTTCCTCAGCTAAAAGCACACCTGTGTGAGTGCTCATCCATCTAACCTGTTTGCAGCATGTTTTGCCCACCTGCACACACCTGCATTAGGGCAAGCAGTTTATGAACCTGTCCCACATGCACACATGCCCCTTCCGAGGACCTGTTCTCACTTGCTGACAGACCAGGAAGGAATTCTTGGGGCTAACACCTGGATCCAAGTAGGTGGAAGGAGCCGCAGCCCACTCCTGGGCGCAGGGAGCACTCCCCACCACCAAGGTTGAGCTCACTGCCTCCATCCCGAGCACCAGGGAACGTCAGTAAGATGCCTGCAGTGCACAGTCAAGGGTTATTTGAGGAACAGGATGGTCAGAAATCAAGTTTGAGCGTTTCACAACATCAGAGAAGCTTGAGATTTGTTTACAGAGCCTAATTATAGCAGGTTGGTGCCAACAGAATAAGGAAGATGAAAGATGTGCTCAGAGGAAAGAATATGCAATGGGCGCTTGCAGTGCTGCATCAAATCCCTCATAAAAGAGCTCTCACAGTCCTTGTAGAACATACCTGGGACAAGAGGTGAATAAATGATGAGGCTCAGGAGAAGTAGCGGGGAAATGGCTGCAGCATTTCGTAACCAGGGTGAGTCAGAGATGGTATTTCTGGGAACGTACACACAGAAGGCAAGAATTCCCCTGGGGAGGCAGGGTATGGCTGGGATCTGAGCATCAGCACTTCTTCAGTCCCACTCTCTGAGCTGCGGAGAGAAGGGAGATCAAATGCCAGAGGAGGATGGGGTGAAGCAGAACTGATCCAGCCTTTGTTCCGAGGAGTTAATGGTTAATACTGGGGAAATCAGGCTTAAAACTAGAGACGCTTAAACAAATGAACCGGTGGCATAGGAATCCCAGAGATCCAAGTCTCTCCTGGCTGTCCTGTATGGGCAGAGTGCCTGCCCGAGGCCTGCGTGCTGGAGGAGGAAATGTAAGGAGCTCTGAAGCTCTTTATTTCTTGCCATGAATCTGAGCAAGAACAGACACCAGCTATTTCCTGCAGAGCCTGTGCTCCTGGATAGACCGTGTTAGGCTGCGGGTAGCAGCCGGCTGGGCTCCCACAGGCTGCTCCTCCTGGCAGCAGCAACACGACCAAAGGATGTGTTGAGAAGAAAAGAAAGGGACTGGTGTCCAGCTACCTCCTCATTCACAGGTCCTGCCACCCCAGCCACCCCCAGCTCTGAGTGCTGCACAGCCTTACGTGATGTGGAGGCAGGCGAGACCCGTTTTCATTACTCCATCTACAGGCATCAGGGTATAGTGGCAGTAAATTCCAAGTGTGTGCAGACCAAACTGGAAGTGGAGGCCGATTGTCACACCTTTGGTCCCTGCCACTCTGGGCATCATTTCTTAATGCTCTGCCAGAGTCCCAGAGAGAGGGGAGCAGTGTTTCCAAGACTGGCAGCCCCCAAGTCCAGCTCAGCTATTAGATCTGTTAAGCCATTGGGAAACCAGCAGTCTCACCACAGCTCTTGCCAGGACACCCAGAGAGGTCCCTTTAAACATGTGTCTCTAATTGACTCTGTTCCTTCCCCTGCATCCAGCTCAGCTCCAGCCTCAGGATGTGCAGAACAATAAAGTTGAGGTAAAGATGGTCCCAGTTACTCTTTTAGGTCCAAGATGACAAGACTCCTGATACCTTTCACCCCACTTTTGAAAGGAAGAAACTCCACCATCCCTCTATCTAAAACAGGAACCAGAGGAAGAACAGGTTCCTGACACCTCCCAGACTGGGCATTGGAAGCAGCACAACTCAAAGTAGCACCAGTGATTCCTTGATATTCCTCCCTTAGATTTGAAGCCAAGTCAAGCAGGGAACCCTTCGACAACACGCAAGGGAAAAACGAAGACCTTGTAAGAAATAAACCCACCACTGAGTGAAGCTTTCCTGATCAGGGCACAGCAGCTCTTCCACTTCCAGCAAAGTGAAGATAAAGGATTACTGCTTTGCTGCAGGCATTTATGCACATGCGAGTTGTTGGGTTTTTTCTGCCTGCTTTTGGCTGCTCCCAAAGGTTCAGCATTTGGCACAGCACAGTTTAGGCAGGGCCATGGTATAGGCCACTGACATCAAACATTGGGTAGGAGTTGGAAGCTGCTTGCTACAGCCAGGAAGGAGATGGCTGGATTTAGATGTAGTTTGCCGGGAAGCAGGAGATAACATTGCTCTGATCTTCGTGATAAAATGCTTATCAGGTATATTGAGCTTTGAGGCAGACCAGGCAGTGGTCAGGAGAACCTGCTGAGCTGCTGTCAGGATGTGACATTTACCACTGCAGTGACTCATCTGCTGCGGCTGCTTTGTCTCATGTTCTGCCAGTGTGAAAACCAGGGCTTGCTCCACAGCAAAGAAGTGCCCTATAGAGAGGGAAGGTTTGGGAACCATACACACAACAGAGGTGGTTCCAAATCCCCTTTTCCGACCAGGTTAATAAGGGGTTTATGCCAAGACCACACCGAATTTAGGCATGATTCACCCAAAGCCACTTGAATAGGCACTTTACAGAGACTGCACGCAAATAATGTGGAGCCAGGGAAATGAATGTTTCTGGCTATAAAGTGACTACTTGAGCCCATTTTCCCCTGCAGTAAATACTCACTGTGCTGGTAAGGAAAGGTGAAAGAGAGAGAAAGTAGCTTAAATTCTTTGTTAGAGATACAAGGATGTGCGTTAAACATCTGAAATAGCCCAAAAGCATAGATTTAGCAGCACTCTGCCAGGGCACTGGGATGCTCTTTTATAGGGCATGTGATTCCTGAGCTTACCAGGAAAATGACTGTTCAATAGCTCCTCTTGCACTCTAAACCCCTCATGTCCCACAGCTCTGGAGGATGAACTGAACAAAGATTAGCCTTTATCCTGCTTGTTTCTCGGCAGCCAGAATGAAACACTCCGTTTGTACTGGACATGAAACAGAGAGGAGCAGCAGCGAAGCTTTCTGGCCTGGAAGCCCATTGCTTCTTGAGATGCCGTCCCAAAGCTGCTAGGAAAGAATTCCAGCTACAGGGAAGAGCGAGCAACATTGACACCTACCGTTGGGTATTTTAATTGCTGGTAGTACCCAGCCGCTGAGGCTTGTAAAGCCGGAGGAAGGTGCTCTCCTTAGTTAGAACGACACGCTAATGCTTGAATTTTGCTCCTGCAGTGCTTTCAGGGTGAACTTAACTGCAAACAGAGAAGCTGCATGTGCAGGGAAGCCTCTTCCTTTAACTCAATTTCTTCGCTGATTTCGTGGTACGACTTTCCCAAGAGGCAAAGGAAAGGAGTAGCAAGCTGCCAGAAGGAGCTTACCTCTGTTTTCCCTTCAAACATTACACGTTTCCTCCACAAAAGCTTTCAGCAAACAAGCTTCAGGCTTTCCACAATCCTCAATAGCTTCTTGTGAACAATTTGGGAAAGAAAGGAGAGAAAAAGGCTCCAGAGCTGGAAACGTGTCCATCATTAAGGGGAAAAACGTCTAACATAGGACATAGCAATGCCCATACTTGCTCCTAGATTACTCCAAGAAATATGGATTCTCCATGCTACTTCCAACACAGGCTATATGTATACAGGTATACGCAGACATATCTGGAGTAAAATCCCATAGGAAATTCCCAATGACTTTCCAGGAACACCACTCCACACTAAAGAGGACCATTCTGGCAGCAGAATGCCCCCGTGGTGGTAGCAAGGTGCCCGCCTGCAGTCAGGAACATCAGACCCAAACCAGGCACAGCTCTCCCCAGGTTTCCATTGGCAATGTCCGAGAGCTTCTCACATCCAAATCCTAAACCTGGAATGTGTTTGTGATTGACAGCTCACTGACCTGCATGTTTGTCCCCAGATTAGGCTTCCCCAGTGACCCGCCTGACCCCCACAGCAAGGGCAGGGAGAACAAAACCACCTCTCTCAAGCAATGGTTTGTGCACACAAGGTTGGCAGGTCCAGGGTGGTTCAGGTCTTGGGGGAAAACAGCAGGTTTTAGTGAGTTTGCTGAGAGCCAGTTGTCAGACACATCCCACAGGAGATGGGAGAGTGCCACGAGAAAGCTCTGTCGTCATTCCCCATAGATCATCCACTCCAGACCCAGAATCCCACTCCATGAACATTGCATCGTGCAAACAGCAAAACGAAATAAGCTCCTATAGGATAAAAGGCAGCTCAAGGTCACAGGGACCCCGGGACCTGCAGCACTTGAGCCCAGTTCCTGTGCCCTCCAAAAGCCCGTTTCTGGGAGCCCCAGTCCTACCTCCCTGACTGCCCCAGGCAAGGACACAAAGCCCTTGGAAGCCACCCTTGCTGTGGCAGTGCCAACCACCTCAGGATGCGCACAATGACAGCACAAGGGTGAACACTGCAGCGTGACCACCACGTAAGCACCAGTGTTGACACAAGGCCTATAGGTGAAAACATTTCCAGGAATAAACCCATCCAATCTTGTTCTGCATCAGCACCACGACGTGGCACCGCGCAATGTCCTGGTATCACTCTTTTGTGCTACTGGCCTTAGTAATGTTTGTCCATCTTTGTTGATACAAGACTAGAACGGAAGGAGAGGAGCGTATAAAGTTGAGCAAGAGCCTGCACCACCTCATTGCTGGTGAGAGATGGCCAAGCTCACTTTGCTCACCAGTAAGTCCCGCTTCAAAACTTAGTTCTCTACCTTTATGACAAGGATTTGTGGCTCTTTCACTGTTATACTCATGGTTTGGGAGGGATCTGGGGGGGATTACAAATGCTGCACTCTCTTTTCTGTCGAAGACACAGCAGGTTACTCTCAGGAGGGATGTTACGCTTTGCAATGAATAGAATTCAACAGCTGTTTGACATTGAAATGTGCCTTTTGAACAAAACTCTCCAAATCAAACTACTGCATTGTCACTTGCTTAGTTTTTTGTCTGTGTTTTTACCTGAAATCAGTTGACAAATGTTATCCACTTCCATAGAAACCTCCAGGGGAGCCATGCTTGGGAATTGGTGTGGGGTTTAGAGAGAACAGGGATCACAAGATAAGGTTCTAGGGGGTTCAGTCCAGTCCTGCACAGGAACTTTGTATTTCTAAGTGCAAATGCTAAAGCCTTTGTTCTTTACCTTTCTCCTGTAAAGGTCTGGCCCTGCTGCTGAATGCCCAGGCAGGTAAGTGCTTCCTCTGGAAAACAACCCTACCAACCCCTTTCCAGCATCACTGCAATCCCACAGGCTGCCCAGCAAACACGCCAAGAGCCTTCCACCTCCCAGCACTTCACATGAGATCCCTCTGCCTCTGTTCTTCCATACATGGCAGCAAAGGAGAAAGATTCCCTTTGGGAAGAGACCCTGATTCACGAGCTGAAGGGTACAAGAGGCTCATCTTAGACTATAGACTTTAGACTAACTCATCTACTAAAACATAGGAGGAAGGAAACAAGTCAGTGTTGCCCTGGAGAGCCAGTTCTCAGTGGGATAACAGCTCTACTTCACTGCCTCTGAACTCCTTCCCCTGGAAGGAAACATTGCTCAGCCATTCCTCATCAGATCCAATACTCTGCCTGTAGTTCCCAGTATCTCCCCAGTGCTTCCCGGACCTACCCCACCTCCTCTGTTTCTCTGCAGGCACTGCCTATGTGCTGTCATGTTACTTCACCAACTGGGCCCAGTATAGGCCTGGCTTGGGAAGATTCCTGCCTGACAACATCGACCCATTCCTGTGTGACCATCTGATCTATGCCTTTGCTGGGATGTCCAACAATGAGATCACAACTTCCGAATGGAACGACAACACCCTTTACCAGTCCTTCAATGGCTTGAAGAACCGGTATGTACCAAGGGTCCTGTCCTCTTCTGCAATGTCTATTCTCCTCACAAAGGCAGCACAATCCATGGTGGAGGGATGCAGATAGTGATGGGGAGCACAGAGCAGGCCACCACCAGTCCTCTGAGCGTGGTGACAGTGACACCGAGTGCTCTGGGCTTGCTCTTCGGGTTCCACACCAAAAGGTGCCTACAAAGGCAGCTACATCAGCCAGTTGCAGTAAAACATGTTCCTGTCCCTTCCTTTGCAGGAACACAAATCTGAAGACCCTCTTGGCAATTGGAGGATGGAATTTTGGAACAGCCCAGTAAGTTCAAACCATCTGCTTCCCATAATGGCACCCTGGAAAGGGAGGGAGAGGGGGAAAGAGGCACCAACCAAACCCCAACTCCGTCCTGCTCTGCTTCCCTAGGTTCTCCACAATGGTTTCCACACCTGAGAACCGCCAGACGTTCATCAATTCCGTCATCAAATTCCTGCGCCAGAATCAATTTGATGGGCTGGACATTGATTGGGAATACCCTGGCTCCAGAGGCAGCCCAGCCCAGGACAAGACTCTCTTTACCGTCCTGGTTAAGGTGGGTTTTGGCCAAGCCCTCTGCTCTACACAGCTCTGGCCAGAGCCCTGGGCAAAGCCTCAGCCGAGAGAGTCCGTGTGAATCCTGTTTCTTGGCATCTCACAGGAAATGGTGGCAGCCTTTGAGCAGGAAGCCCAACAGGTCAACAAGCCCCGTCTCATGGTCACCGCAGCCGTTGCCGCAGGACTTTCCAACATCCAGGCTGGCTACCAGATTCCTGAGCTTGGGAAGTGAGTAGCAAACCCTCAGGTATCGTTTCTGTGACACTTCCTTCAGGTGGTACCCAGCAAGTGGGGACATGGCCAGAGATGGGTAAACAGGAACAAACAGGTCCGGGTGACTGAGGAGACCAGGAGATAGATGTGCACAATGTTCTCCACAGGTACTTGGACTACATCCATGTGATGACTTATGATTTCTATACCTCTGGGGATGGACAAACTGGGGAGAACAGCCCTCTCTACGGTGATGGTAACACCTACTTCAGTGTTGTAAGTGTATTTTGGGAGCCTCTGATGCAGAAGTCATCTTCCTGCCTACAAATCTCAGCACAGACTTGAATCACGATGGCTTTTGTTACAGGAATATGCTATGAACTATTGGAAGAACAGTGGTGCTCCAGCTGAGAAGCTCCTTGTTGGATTCCCAACCTATGGACATACCTTCAACCTCCAAAGCCCATCCAACACTGCTATTGGGGCACCAACATCAGGACCTGGGCCAGCTGGACCTTACACAAGGCAGGCTGGGTTTTTGGCTTACTACGAGGTATGTGTGTTCCCTCCCACCTCGGCCACCCCCACCACAAACACTCCTCAAACTTCACAGCAAGGAATTTATAGCCCATGTAATATCCCAACTATTTCTGTGCAGGACACTTGTTAACTTCTCCCTCTCTGCCCTAGATCTGCACATTCCTGAAGTCTGGAGCCACCCAGGCTTGGGATGCCCCCCAGGATGTGCCCTATGCCTACAGCGGCAGCGAGTGGGTTGGCTATGACAACATCAAGAGCTTCAACATCAAGGTATGGTGGGATGTGTGCTATAATAAGGCAAGAGACCTTCTGCAATAGCAGGTCCTGGGACTCATTGGGGTTTCTCCCCTGGCACCAAACAGGTTGACTGGTTGAAGAAGAACAATTTTGGAGGCGCTATGGTTTGGGCCCTTGATCTGGATGACTTCACTGGCTCTTTCTGCCAGCAGGGCAAATACCCCCTGATCACCACCCTGAAGAACAGCCTTGGTCTGCAGAATGGCAGTGAGTAGCTTGAGTAGTGTGTGCTTCTGGAAGGCGACTCCCCAGCTCACTGCTGACGCAGGGCTTCAGAGATCCGGGAACCTTCGTCCCTGGAGGGTTGGTGGATAAAGGCTTCCTATGGAAGCCACAACTAGAGATTGCCCCAGAAAGGTTCCTTCACTCTGTATCTCCTGGGGTAAAGGAGGGAGATTGTAACTTGGACCTGCTTGTGAACCAGGCCAGGCTTTGGGGGAACACTCTGTAACAGCCAACCCCACCACTAAAGGGCCTTTGAGGGGAGTGGAGGGCTGAGAGTCTGTGAAGACAAAAATAAACCCTTTCCTGCTTTTGTTTCAGACTCTGCGTCTGCATCTCAGCCCAGTGCTCCTGCCGCTGAGCCCCCCTCTAACGCAGGTGGAAGTGAGAGCGGGGGCTCTAGTGTTAGTAACTTCTGTGCTGGCAAGGCCAATGGCCTCTATGCAGATCCAACCAGCCAGAGAAGCTTCTACAACTGCCTGAATGGAGAAACCTATGTGCAGAGCTGCCAGAGCAATCTCGTCTTTGATACCAGCTGCTCCTGCTGCAACTGGCCATGAAGATGCCACTCCTGTCACAGCAAACAGGCTCCTCTGAGCTAATTGAATAAGAATGGTGATAATAAGAGGGATGATAATAAGAATGATGATAATAAAGTGTTCTGCAAAAGTGTCCTCGTTGTTTCAACTCATCTTGCTGGTCCTCCCCGATTCTCTCATGACACTTGTACTTGGGGAAGGGCCTGAATCCACAAGTGGTCTTAATTCCAGGATGGCTTTCTCCAGGGGTTTCTTGCTGCCCTAGCAGGAGAGCCAGGCAGAGGGAAAAAGATCAGACAACAGGGCAGATGGGGTTGTGTCACAAAGGAGATCACAGAGAAGGGTTCTGACTGCTTCCCTTGAGACCTATCCCCTATAACTTTACAATGTGAAAACAGCAGCTCCTCAGAGTCATCATCACAGCACAATCCACAGGGACATTATTAATTCCCTTTTCCCTGACCCTTCCGGCGCTGCCATCAACAGCATTCCCTCCAGCACTCCCTGCTCCGTGTCTATAGCAACTGGAGAGTACACACACATCCTGAGCCTGGCAGCATGGCAGCACCGGGGGAACCGAGAGGTGAGCCCTGCAGGCACCCAGTTAGCTCGCTGGTGGCATTGGGCTTTCCCAGAACCAGGCTGGGAAGCTACTCTTTGCTCAGGTCGGGATAAAAAGAAGCCTTTGTGGAAGGAGGGAACAGGCATCGAAAGGGCAGACCCTGCACAAATAGCCAGGGTCAGGCGAAATTCCCACGTGGGAGATAAAAGGATGGTCAGCCTCAGGGACTTAAGAAGGGAAAAAAGCAGCAAGTGGTCACCTCCACATGGGTTTGTCTCCTGGTCTCACAGACGTGTGGAAGCAGATCTCATTTGGAACATGCCAAGAGCGGAAAATACTCCCTTTGCACGATGCTCCAGACAGGCTGGGGGCCCAGCTGAAGTCCATCAGGGGAGAGCCTTCCCTTGGGCCAGGCTGTTACCTGAGCCAAGAGGTAAGTTGTTCAGTTTTCATGCTCGGAGCTTTTCCTTCACAGAAGCCACATAGTGCAGGAGCAACAAGACCATGGCAATGGGAGGAATTCATAGGAATAACATCTGCTGCTCATGTCTTTCTGTCCTTCCCCTAATGCAAATGGTGTCAGCAAGACACTTGTTTTGAATTGCAGAGAAGCAGCTTCAGGTACTCCTTGGAAAACAAACCACTGAGCATCAAAGGCTACGTGATAGGAGCGAGGACAGCCCAGCGCTTCCAAATACAGCCACAGGTAAGAAAGGCACATATTGAAGTGGCAGAGCTGCAGCTTTGCAAGAGGCTGTTCCCAACATAGACTGTTGGTTTTGCTGGGACTGCCTCCAACTTAATATATCCAGCAGCTGTAGATCTGCTTGCACGTAGTCCAGTGGTAGGTGCTGAGCCTAGAGACTGATCACTGAACATATGAGCTCTGGCAACATCGACACAGGCGTTTGTAAGTAAGTTACACACTCCTTTGTATCACATACACACACATGTAAGTGCACAAAATCAGGGAGGGAGCTCAGCTATCCTGCCTGAACAAACGTGCTGTCTTCTGGTCCAGCTTCTCTAGAACAACCATTTATTAGGAGAAACATCATAGGACACACTGGGTAAGGATAGGGAGTATAGAATTGATCTATTCTGGGGGGTTTATGCCATCAGAGCAGCCACAGCATGCACTGAACAGCAGGTCTGTGATGCCCAGCTGCCTGCTCAGAGCATGTAGGAATGGTGTGCAGAACAAAATGCTCCCTATAGAAATCTCTCTTGTAGACTGTGACTCCCAGCCCAGCGAAGTACCAGCCATTCTGGACGAAAGAGAGGAAATGCCAGCCTGCCTATGCTCCATTCTCCACTAAGACACCACGATTTCCACATAAGCCTTCAGACAGAGAATTATTCCCTGGGTAAAGTAACTCTTTTTCTTACCTTTTTCATAATAAGCACAGAGAAATACTATGACACAAATGGGAGACACGTTCCTGAGGTCCCAGAAATGCTTTTTTATCATCTTCAAAAAGCTTCCCTGCTTTAGTCCTGCATGATGACTAGAATACCACAACATACGTTTCTCCCATGGATCAAGGTAGAGCAGGTAACTTCTGGTATTGCAAACATCACACACCAGTTCCAGAAACAAGCTAATTTGTGCCTGTTTTCCTTAGACCTGGAACTTACAAAGCAGACAAGCAATTACACAAAAGTATCACTTGGCCGATGAAGTTTGGGTCTCCAGACTGGTCTTTAGTGCCGATGCCACCAAAGAGGATGCTGAAAATGGAGGTACAGAAGGTAAGGACAGGGATAAAGGGATGTTATTCCCAGCTCGATGCTTCTGACAGAGAAAACTGTATGGCTACATCATGTTTGCACTCTGTTTTGTCATCATTTCCTCACTGGGCTGCTGGGTACATGGCTCTATTAGCCTGGGGCACAAGACATAAAGTGATTTGCTATCAGAAAATGCTGGTTTGCAAAAACAATTACGACCCTTCAAACCTTTTCAAACCCTTTCTGTTAAGAAATTTGCTCTTGAAGTTTCCATCCACAAAGAGAGAAACCCAGAGCACAGATTTCGCCAACGTAGCTCTGCTGAGAACAAAACCTTTCTGATTTAAAACATAGGTTGAAAGTTCTTGACACCATCTCACATCTTCCTGTGCTGTTCTGAAGCACTTGTCATTGCCAATATCTAATAGTTGTCTTTTAGATAACCATAGACAAAGAGCTCAGGAGACACCGGAACCGAGTGGCCTACCTGAGCTTATACTTCAACTGAGGAGCCAGAGCTGCTGCCGTGTCCCCCTGCTTCCAGCGGGGCACCTCAGGCCTCCCCTTTGCTTCCCCCCTGCTCCTGAAGACACTCATCTGCACTACCCAGCCTCTCCAAATAAAAGCACTGCAAAAACAGAGCTTTCTTGTCACTAACTGTGCTTACCTGGTGCTGCCACAGGGCACACAGCAGCCCTCAGGTGCATTCAGGAAGAGTATAATGGCTCTGTGCACAGCCAGTAGCTCTAATAAGTAGCACACACATGAGGGCAAGAGGATGGGATGGGCCAGACCCTGCAAGATGTGTTTTTGCATTACTAGCTTTTTCCCTCCTGCCATGAAGATACTCCCAAAGAGCGAGCAACATGCTGCTAATTAAGATAAATGCAGTCTGAATCAGAAAGGTCCTGGTGTTCCTCATCAGTTGTTTCTGTAATGTACAACTCAGACCCTAGGGATTGCTGTAAACGTTTACAGACCTTCACACGCAGACTCGATCTGTGTGATCACAGGCTTGATTTGGCCTCAGGGGAAAGCTAAGAGCAGGCAACAATCATTCTCATTATAACTACCAGTCACAATGCAGGCTTTCAGATATTTTGGGTCTATTTACATGTTTCTGTAGCAAATTTTACCTGTAGCCCAGTTTCAGCTATAAACCCAAAATGTATTCTTCCAATTGCCCACTTCTGGTCTTCAAGTGCTCTCACATCTGCACTGCAACAGCTGCCTGTCTTTCGTAGGCACGCTGGCCCCTTCACAACCACAAGAGACTGCTTTGCAGCAGCAGCTGTAGCTGAACCCAGGACAAGCTGTCACAAAGGGATTTACTTGCTGATTTGCAGTTGCCACCTCTTGAAGGAAGGGGTACGGTTCACTGGAGCCTGCACTGTCTTAAGACCTGGGTTTTACGGCATTCAGATGCTTTTCCACTCCTAAAACCTCAAGGACTCAGCCAGTTTTGCTTGTAGGAGATAAAATTTCTTTTATTAGGAACATAAAAATCACTGGTTTCATTCTACACTTTTCCCCTCCCCAGCCAGGGGTTTTCTCCTTACGAAAAAATGCTTAATCCAAGTAAAAAAAGATAAACATTTTTATATATACATACATACACAACATCTCTGTACATTTGTTATTCTGTACAACCAAGGCACCAGCAGAAGTGACAATGGCACACGCAGGGCTTCTTTTGCCTGAGTCCAGAATGTTTGGCAGGAACACCTCCATTCTCACTGAAACAATAACTCCTTTTTATCTCCCTCCTCCCTGAGTGCTGGGGAGGAGGGAGGCCTGGGAGGATGCCTTAACTGCACACATGTACACACACAGAACCCTGATCTCCCTGGGGACTGCAACAGGCTTCTTGCACTCAGCTACTGCTCTAGGAAACCACGAGCTGCCTGGCAGTCTTTGCTCCCTCTACATGGACCATGTTTTCATCCGGAAGAGATGCTCTGGAGACTGGACCAAACTACAGGAGTCTTTTGTCAAAGAGATTTAACTTATATTTTGCCTAAGAAAAGGCTGAGAAAAATTAAAGCAAAGCCCTCCAGAGCGAGCTAACAATTACAATATTCCCATCACCAGTTATTTTCACTGCTGTAATAGTCTTCTGCTCCAGGGAAATAAAGCGGGGAAAAAAAAGAGCAACTTCTATTGATAAAAGCTTGTGTTTTGGACAAAATAAAGTGCAGTTGATAGAATGGCCTTGGGGACTGCTTTATCAATACAGCTTTATTCCACATTCCAAGTTTTTTAGCACAGCATCCTTCAAACCAGCTGGTGAAGGCATGAACTCTCAAAGGAGTTGTGCTGTGTTGAAACTAACAATAGAACTGAAAAATAGCCTGAAGCAGCTGTTGAATCCTGCCATTCACACTGCTGGAAAACAATTGCAAAGCAGAACAGGGTAAACACCACATTTAGCACTTTGAAGTGCAGCTGCAGACAGAAAAGTGAGAATAAAATGCTATCCTCACTCTGTACACTCTTACCAACACATCAGCTGCCTTTAGTTTATAAAGGAAAGGTCTGTTTGCTTTTACCTGCCAAGAATCCAAAGAAAAAAACCTCTCTGGGATTTTTCTGTCTCTGTTAATACATGCTCCTTAGATTACAGGGCCAGGCAGGGTTGGTTGCAGAAGTTTCTTTTCTAGCCCGCCAGCCAGCCACAAATGAATTATGCCTTTGTATCCTGCAGAGCCCGCTGGGAAGCACTGAGCAGCAAGAACCTCCATGTCCCCCATCTCTTCACAGAGTAAATCCTGTGACAGTGAGAACAAACCAAAGTAAACCAGACAATTCCCATCTGGAACCCAGTGGCCTTCAATGCTTTCAGGGCAATTGACCGTTCCAAGTCAGCAGGAGAGCAGAGGGAGAAGAGGGAGCATTGCAGACCAGGATGAGAGTGCAGTTCACTAGGCAGAGAGAGCTCATTCTGCTTCTGCCTCTCCTGTCTTGCTCCATGCCTCTCACCCACCGCTGTGAAGATGAAATCCCCTCCAGGTTTCTCTTCCTCTGAGCAGCCAACTGGCCACACACCTCACTTCTTTCTGCGGATCTTGGGCTTTTTCACTGGCCGGAGGTAGGGGTTGTCTATCATGTTCTCCTCCCCGTTCCGACTGCCTGACAGGGAGGTGTTCTGCTGTAACACTGAAGTGTTCTCCTTCTCAGGGCCTGAATCATCCTGCCAACATATGTATAAACAACTAAAGTTAGGTTAAACAAGACTTAGAAGTTCAAACCACATAACCTACGGGCAAAAACATCATCAACAGCAACGACCAAGACAAACGGCAGCACACAAGGGGCTGCATTAAAGGTGAGGACTCCAGATTTCTAACACAAGACCACCCTCTTCAGGAACCATGTGGGACAATCACACTGAAACAAAGGTTGGACTGAAAGGTCATCATCCAACCTCATTTTGCATTGCACACTGCAGGAAGTTAAAGAACCATGACAGTGTTTAGCCATTTACACCTGGTAAAACACAACCCACGCTGCCTTTTCCCACCCACTCTGCCCAGCTGCAAGGAACACAGGCGAAGAACCAGGTTTCATAAGCTGAAGAAAGTCAGGCCCAAGAGACCTCGACCTCTCCGGCTGAGCGTACCGTGCTCATGTGCAGGGGCAGGTTCTCTGTGTCTGTCTGGTCGTCTTGCTCAGATGAATCTGTTTCTTCCATTTGCTGCATCTCCAGCTCAGAGGGGAGAAGAGCTGTCAGGTAGGGGACGGTGAAAGGCCTGGCAGCAATCACTAGGGTTAGGGAAAAGGACACAGTCAGCAAGTTGGGAGAAACCTCCTCAACTCAGAGATCATGAAGCACAAAGCCAACCAGTTACTTAGACCAAGCATTTTCACTGGTTCTGGTTTTAAACACAGACATTCTTTTCCTGTTGGTCCCAGGAATCAGGAATGAAATATCCTGCCCCTAAGAGATGGCGGTCTCTATGTTTCTGTTTCCTGAGGTCCCTTTATGTTTCCAGCCAAGGACACAGCATTACAGCAACATTAAAAATCCTTCCTGACCTCCATAAGCATTGTTTAGTTCCCCTTAAGATAACTTTGGCATCTGTGCCGTCAGTGAGCCTGGGAAAGTGGGAATTCTCTGCATTGTGGACAGAGAAACAGGAAAACCTCCACTGCCTACCACAAAAATGAGAGAGAGAAGAAATCACTCGTTCAGCAGCTACAGGCGCAGAGACAGGACTGGGATGAGCTTTGAAATTAATCAGCCACCAGCAGAAGAAAGCGAGCCTTTGGTGAGGGTGGAAGCCTACCATTTGGTTTTGATTCTGGTTTTCATTCCCATTTTAAATGGAGAATTCCTCATTTCCCAGCCTTCCTGTGCCTTGGAAGGGCAAACACAAGGTGAGCACTCAGCACTCGCCTCCTACAGTAGCAAGAGCTCGTAAGGGAGTTATGCTCAGCTGTCACTGACAGGTACTCACGGGGGAACGTACTGACATCATCTTTGAAGAGACTCTGTGTTTCTCCTGTCTTAGCCATGAAGCGGGTCAGAGCTCTCTCCACATCGCGCCGCTGCGATGCTGCCTTCTCCCGCAGGACCTGATAATCAGACACAGGCTCCCGGTACGTCTGTGGAGGAGGGAGAGAAGGACAAAGAACACCATTAGACAGCTGAAGTTCACACCACCAACATGGATTTTCAGAGAGCTACAGATGTCAATTGGCCAGAAACCTACAGCAAGTGCAACCCGCAAACAAGTGATATGTTAAACCAGAAGCAATGCTTTGGATGACCAGTCCAAGCACTGCAGTAAAAATACACCAGTCCTGGTGTCACTGACTTCAAACAGGTCCCAAATGGCATAAAAAATCTTTTTTTCACTCACTGGTGTCTTGATGTAAGTGTGAGGATCTGGAAACTCCGGGAAATGGCTGGGAATGTGGGATGGATGTGGCTTGTTCTGTCCAGCTGTGAGGGCTTTGGGAGTCACGGGCTGGTTTGTCACAGGAGCTGCAGTAAAACACACACACACACAGAGACAGTGGCTTCATTCCACCAAAAGTGAGGCATAAAGTGCCAGCCCAAACTGAGCTGTGACCCCCCCTATAACAGGGACAGAGCACATCCCATAAGCAGTAATTTCCCATTGGGTTTCTCATTCCAAAAGGGAACATGGGTTACTTGACCCCTCTCTCCCACACAACGAGAACAAAACTGCCTTGAGGATTCTCATGTGCACGGAGGATGCTGCAGCAAAGGCACTGACTCAGCAGAGGCTGCCTCCCTCCACCTAAGGGGTCCTGTAGTGCCCTTAAACCAACCAGCACTGCCAGGAGCACTGGCCTGCATCCTCCACCAAAAACGCTGGAGCTCTCTGGACACCAGCAGAGAGGAATGCCAAAGTATTTCCAGTTTCCTGCATAGAAGAGAAGGGATTTCCCACATACGGGCAGTGATGACCATCCTCTGGGAGCGCTTGGCATAAGCGGGAAGCGTTTCAACATTGAACCCTGAAACACAAAAGAGGAAAC